AGCAAGCAAGACCCAACAATAATATCGACACATATTTGCTAAATCACACCCCAAGAATGAGGGTTTTTAGCCACATATCAAGAAATAACAAAATACACCTAAAATGATAGTAAAATCAAATGGGTATAAGAATTAAACCTTGATTTAAGCAAAGGAAGAAGAATGGAGAAGACCCACTTCCAACTTGGGGAAGATGAAATCCTTCTTTCTTCAAGTCTCCCAAAAAACCCTCTCCAAACTTGACAGAAAATATCCAAAAACGTACTATTCTATTTTGAAATTTTTATTAATAATCGCTCCCCTCAAAATTAATAAATAATTTAGTATTTATAGCCATCAGAAATTAGTGCTGGCAGATAGCTCGGTGAGGTTAGTCGAGTACGCCGACTAACTCGACGACTCGCCCTTCTTCTGTCTCATCGTCGTTTCGTGCCTGCCTTCAGAATCTTCACGTTCTGGACCATTGGGAGGTATAGTACTGCTTCACGAAACTATTCGGTGAAACGCCAACTGCTTCCTTTCATCGCCTTTTTTATCCTCTTCCTTTAGGGCTTTGCGTACTGGAACAAAGGGCAGAATTAGTCCCTTTGGCGACTCGCCAAATGTGCTTGGCGGAGCTCAGGTTTCAACTTCTTCGTTCTTTTAAGCCTTTTTGTTCCTTTTTGCGCCTAAACGTCCATGCTTCTTCTAAAACTTCAAATACCTGAAACTTAAGAGTTTTCATCAGATATTGAGACAAAATAAACATTCAAGGACACTATTTCTATCAAAATAAAGCCCTAAATGAGTCCAATTTGTGGACTCATCAACACCCCCAACTTAAACTTTTGTTTTTCCTCAAGCAAACTCAAGTTCAGCCATTCAAAAAGGGTGTCTCAAACAGTGCTACACAAGACTAAATCATGAATGCACACGACAAGATTCAACTTACTTATGCAAGAAGCAATTTTGTACTCAAAGATTCAAGGTGTGAAACACCATTACCAAAGATTCTCACGCTCGCAATACTTGCTTCTTGTGGAAGTTCAAGCTCAACAAGAAGTAACTAAATGTCCTCACGTAAAGAATGATTCCATGTTCACACAGAGATGTTAGTCAATTCAAGATCAGGAATCAGATGCAACACTCACACTCAAAAAAAGGAACACAATGCATGTTTTTACCCACAGGTTTGCCCTTATTTTCCGATCGACTTTCGATTCTGCTTACTCAAGATCAAAAAGGTCTTTCAAAGGCTTGTAATGGGGCTGAGTGCAAAAGTATTGTCATTTAGGATCAGTGACTTTTTATCCTCATGAGATGTTGTGGTCTCAAAACATCCTCTTCCCTTCCTTTAAAAAAAAATCTAGTGCTTCTAAGTCATCCTTTTATTCACTCTCCATGAATTGTTCGGAAACCCAGTTTCTTTTGTACTTTATTCCACAATTTTCTTTTTCATTCTTTTCTTTTCTTTTTGTTTTCTTTCGTTTTTTTATATGGAGGGTTCCATTGTTTCGTAGCACCATGGGTTAATGGAGACTTCTTATAGCACTTCTTGACTTCTCCTTTTTCTTTTCACCACACCCCCAACTTAGGCTTTTGGCCTAAGTTGGCTATTCACTAAACCACTAGTCAAGAGGATTATAGGTAGTGGGTCAACTAAGGTCTAGGGTGCTTCAAGGTTCTTCCAAAGAAAGGTAAGGCTCAAAGAGGGTTCAAAAGAGTTTCACATGTTCACGGTTAGGCCACAAAAGAGGTATATGTCAAATTTGGCTCACACTCTTTAAAGTTGCCTAAGATCATCTCAAGAGGACATCTTTCTAAATCAATCAGACTAACGGGGAAACTTCTAGGTTTATACATGCATGGTTCAAAGCAAGCTAATCACAAAAGGCATTGACACTTAAGTCAAACAAGGCTACACACTTTCGCTAGTGTGCAATGGTCATTACAGGAGAATCAATTCGATGAATGGTTAAGCACAACGAGATGCAAAGAGTTCACATATTGTTTATGCAACTTCATTTGGCCTCATCGTAGCCGTAAATTCATGTTCGTTCAATTGAGAGCACTATTCAAGTCATCGATATTGATCAAAATCGAGACTCAAATTTTTGTAAAAGAGCAGCCACATCCAACTCACGAGGGGTGGCAACAATGTACGAAAAATTCAAACATATTTCGGAAGGGGTCAAAATCAATTGCAATTAAAAGCAAAATGAGTCATAAGCTTAAACAATCGCACAAGCAATATTTAACAAAATTTAAAACATAACAACCCAAATATAAACACAAAACACCAATAATAATAGTAGCACATAAAGGTGACTCTCACCCCACCATAAAATAACAAGCGTTTGTCCTCAAATGCAATTTAGAGTAACTCAAAAGTAAATGTAAGTAAGACAGAGAGGAAGGTAGAGAAAGGTCATGTCTACACAGTTTCTCTATCTGTCGGGCCATCAGTGCCCGGAGTAGCCTCAGATGGAAAATCAGTGCCAGATCCACTAGGGGCTGTTGTGGACGTCTCAGTCGGTAATGTCTGGATCACCAGCTGAACTACCGTCTCTACTAAATCTGGCAAATCCCTGAATATGCCCGCATCTTGACTCTCTCTCATCTCCTCATCACCTGCTATCAGATCTTCGTCGGTCTCTGCATCTGACGTTGCATATGCTGTGCCATCCCCATGCACATCTTCGGTGGTCTCATGAGCATCCTCATCATCTTCCCTATCTACTAGTGAAGTGAAGTTAGTAGACTTAAGGTAGTCTACGTCCTTCCTCAAACTTGTGATTTTAGCTTTTAGAGCGGCCATTCAGAGGCTTCCCTCTATTTTCTCTCGCAAGCAGTAACTCTTACTGTCAAGACATCAACAGAGGTCTGAAATGGGGCAAGTGGTGCTAGTATGGCCCTGTCGATCATCCCTGGAATAGACCTCTCCATTCGGGTAGCTCTTACATTAGCTGAATAGGCCAACTGTCCCATATTCAGGATTATGGCCTGAGTGATCCTGGCCGGCTGAGAGGATGACGAAACACCTGTAACCTGTGAGGATGAAGAAGAGGGAGTTGGTATACATGAGGGCTCAGAGGCTGCAGTGGGCACATGTGTCTCTGCTGATAATAAGTCAACATTGACCTCTGGAGAATTTTTTGTTGGGGCTGCTCTTCTTCTATGAACCTCCTCTCACATGAATTCGGCCTTTATGCGCCGGATATCAGTGGAGGAAGACGGTGTGACCTCTATATCGCTAGTAGGATCCCGTGGCACCCCAGCACGTCGGCATAACTTAGTGATCAAAACAGGAAATGGCAGAGATGTATGCGTCTGTTTGGCTCTCACATCCATCTCCTGTGATACTAGCAGCCCCAGGTAGATCCTCCTCCTGGCCATGATAGAACCAAGGCAAGCCACTTTAGGATAACGTAGAATGGACTCATTCTGAGATGGCATGATAGTGCTACTGATGAAGACGAACCAGTACCGGGAGACAATGTTCATATCCCTCTTCTCAATAGGGAATCCCGCATACATCCACCTCGGGGTGATGTCGGAGATCACCGGAGCTAACCAACCCTTCAGATCATCTAGGGACGGGACAATAGGCAGACCCTGGTAGGGTAGTACCGAGAATACAACATTAATATGCTCGATGTGACATTCCACCTCTTTGCCTCTAACCACAATCGACTTCACTGGTTGGAACTCAATAGCTTTTTTCTTATTTTTCGAGGCCAACTCCCCATAGGTTAAGTATAATTCTCAGACCCAGGAAGAAATGTAAGAGCCGTGTGGCCTAGTGAACTGTTCAAACTTATGATATCTGAGTGTGTCAAAAACCTTAGCATGCTTACCTTCCAAACCCTCCACAAATAGTAACTTTTCTTCGAGAATGTTCTGTAAACCATCGCCTTTCAATTTGTTCAACAGTCTTGGTTGAGATGGAGCTACGGGGAGTGCAGGGGACACTGGAGGTGGTGTCGAAGCTGGCACTGATTCAGTAGTCGGAAGAGTTACAGCTGATGAAACTCTGGTGGGTGTTGATTGATGTCCATCTCTGAGCCTATTATGTCAGTGAATCAAGGGTTGTTCATCTTCTTGCTCAAGGAAATCTGGCTCAATAGCAGACCCTTTTCTAGCTATATGCTTCTTTCGTTTGCCTTTATCCCACGGTGGGAGATCTTGCTTTCTTTTTTGTGAAGGACATGATCCTTCTTTATTTATTGTAATTCCCTTTGCCTTTTTCTGAGGTGGTTTGTTTAAGTTTGTGTGTACCATATCTGTAAAAGGTCAAGAGATTAGTAAAAACTTAACACAAACACAGAGAATCTTATTGTAGAAAGACTTGCCGATCCAGTTGGCAAGTCGCCAAACCTCTTTGGCGAGCTAGATCGAGCTTGCCGAAGGGATTTCTTAAACTTTAGGAAAATTGGTGATGAAATATTCTATTCGGCGATGGCAAAGTTGTCCACCAAAAGATACAATAAAAGAGATTAAAAAGGGCATGCAAATGCCGATCAAAAGTCTTATCGGCGAGTCGTTGACTAGTTTCAACGAGCACGAAATTGTCCGCCAAAAGTTACAGATTTCACAGCACTAAGGATATGACTCAAGGGTGAACTATGACCCATAAGCAAACAACCGAATCATTCGGCGAGCTCGACCCAGCTCGCCGAACGACACCACATGCTTATTGTTCAATCCAACTCTCAAAATAGACCTTATGATCTTCAAAAGCAAACTCAAAGCATGCATACACGAGATTCACGCAAGACCCATACTTCCCATCACCCCAGAATACTCAGACTTCTTCTGGTCCTGCCAAGTTTTGGCCATTTACCTACGATCACCCATCAGAATATCGTTACCCATTCCTTCATTTAGCAATTCTCGCTATTAAGCACAAATGTGGGCTATATAGGTGTTAGCCAACCAATACAACGACAATTAAGCAACACCCATTGAAATCTCAATCAAAATAAAGCAGAAACAACAAGGCATTCGATTATTAAAATATTTCAGGCAACTAATTTCGAATTACACAAAGCATATCAACTTATTTCTATCAGAGAGGCCCAACACATATCATCTTGATACTACAATTGCAAATGAGTGCAAACTCTTTTAAGATAAATTCGGGGTTTTATGGACTAACCTTTAATGCCGATCAACTTTCTTTTTCAAACGCTAGGCAGCAAAGAGATCCAATCCTAAGCACTACTTACCAACTTAAATACTAATGGAGAGGTAAGTATCTAAGAAAGAGTACCTTTGGTGTCATTTCGAGGAGTTTGAAACGAGGGAAGGTGAGAGGTTCAAAATATTTAACCTTTTACCTTTATATAACCGTTCAGTTCTCGATCATTCGGCGACGTTAGTCTTATCGCCGATCAACTTGGCGATGCGCCAAACGCGTACTTACCTCGCCGAGTTTTACAGAAAATTCCTTATTTTGGGATCCCAATAGTGGATTAAGTTGGAATCGCCAATAGGTTCGGCGAGTCGCCTACCGGATCCTTGGCTAGCCAACTTGCACTTTTCTACACCTTTCTCATTTGAACCTACAAAATCAGCACACCATTATTCGAACAGAATAATTAAAAGCAGTAAAACTTTGGGTTGCCTTCCAAGAAGCGCCTTATTTTACGTCGTGGCACAACGTAAGTTCTGTTTAACTCTCCGTTATTGGGGTTATCCCTAGTGTCACTAGGTGACCCCAATATTTCATTTGGGTGGAAATGAGGCACTACAAAACTCAGGAATGACCTGATTATTTGGATTGATCTAGAGTGAGATCCAATCATTTGATTCAACATTTCAATATTCTCCTTCATTTATTCCAACACCCAATCTTGATCGGTGATCTTTTGGAGAATGATTTGAAGTGTGTACTCGACATGATTTTTATCCCCAATTCTAAATTTCCTCCGCTCATGAGAGGGAATGTACCTCCCCCTGCTATTGCATTGGACTTCCACCTCTGAGATTTTGGTGGCCATGTTGTTTTATTTTTTCAATTTCCATTTTTCTTAACTTTTTACTAGTATGTTTCTTCTTATATTTCTTTTCATCCATAGCTCGGAGTAGCTTTGATACAAATACACATGTGACCATACCATAGATGCATCTATTAAATCATAATAGTATGCGGTCCACATGGTAGGTGAACGGGCCCATATTCACCATTTTATATGTTCCAAATAATTTCAGGGGATACAATCCCAACCTTAGCTGGTACAATGATAATTTTATTATGAGAACAAGAAACACATGAGAATTTTTGAAGAATCTTTTATTTTTTCAACATATAACCACACGAATTCTCAATTCTTTTGCAACATATTTGAACCGAAATGGTCATCCAGTTATGCCAACTGATATTTAATCTAGTAGACCACTAGTTTACTTTTGCATGCGGTTTCATCATCATGCCTATATTTGTATACAACAAACAAGAGAAAGGGGGGGGGGGGTAACCTTTTGTGTAAATATTCATAACCCACTTTGATTGTAGTAATCTGAAGATATTTATCTTACAATAATTTACAGTCTCAATATAATAATTTTTTTTCTAATTCCTCCGAAACATAAAAAGTTTCTTTTGAGACTTACTACAACCTCAATATTATGAACTATTTTCATTTCTGGGTAGTTACAAATTAGTTCTTCCGAAACTCTTAATTTAGTTTGTGTACTGCCACAAATTTCACAACACCGTTCTTACGGTGACCATCTCCTTCAAGGAGAAAATTATTATTATTGTCATGGTTAAAATTATTACATGCAAGACTTATTTCTTCACAAACAATGACAAATTTGTGTTGCCACACAACAACATTTATTTTGGTCATGACCACAATGAACCTTTATAGAAAAGAATTATTTCTTTCTTTTGTTCTCCAATAGTTCATAATAAAACATACCACCATATTTGTGTAGTACTCAAAGTATATGACCAAAATGACCATTTATGTCAAATTATTATTTTTTCAATATCTCAAACCTCCCGTAGAGGTAGATGTGACATTTATCCAACTCTACATGAACATGTCCTTATCCATACGAACACAAGTCACATTCTGTTCAAGAAATGAACCATAACTATTTGTACATGCTCCATAAGTTTTTATCAGAAACTCATTGTCATGCTTTGGCATTATAATATTTATGTGACTCAACTTAACATCACTTTAAGAGGTCAAATGTACGAAATGTACTACCACTTTGTATTCCTTTATTTTGATGGAGGATTTACAAAACTTTTCAAATTGGCTTGCATCAACAACAATGTGCCCAATATCTTTTCATACCACTTTGATGGATAAAATTACATTCACATTTGAAGGACCATCTTAAGAAACAATGTGCCCTCATACCACCTTGATGGACAAAATTACCTTCACATTTGAAGGACCATCTTAAGAACCCATAAATGTTCTTCCTTTTAATTACCACAATGATGACCATTAACATTTTACCACACCCATATTCATACATTCAACCACTTTTCATTTTTCAGACATATTATGCACTGCTACCACATTCACATAAGAGAATGGAGCAAATTAATTGGGCAAATTTCATGACTTTCAGTCAAAAGTATACAACTTTATGCTAGTCATCATATCATCACTATAGTGCATTAGGACTTAAACCCAATGTCTTACCCATATAAAGACGCCTTTGATCATAAATCAATGAGACTTGAACCCAACTTCTTATTATCATGGTGCACCGAGACTTTAACTTGTTGTCTTTCCCACTTGGTGCAGTGAAATTTGAATTCACCGTTTTACCCTCAACCAATGTCTTAATAAACCAAATGCATAACCAAAAAATATGTATTGAGTACCATAAATATTATCTGAATTTGACATAAAATTGAATAAAATGAACAAACCTAATTAATTAGAACAACATGTTGGAACCATATAACAGTTCCAAGTAAAAATAAATTAAATCATTTTAATAGTCCCTCACAATATTTTGTTGAAGATTATCATAATTTACTAACCATTTTAAAATAACCACAGAACAAGCTTTGTTAGTACAAATAATATATAGGATATGAAGTATACCTTGCAGCCGAAGAATTACTAGGATAATTCATAAAAATCAAGAAATACCTACCATTGATTCTTGATGGAGATTGAGCAACTCGTGCAGATATCGTGTTGTAAAACTAAAGCAAAATAAGACAAGAAATATAGAAGATGAAAGCAATAGAAATAGGGAGACAAGAGATGAGAGTTTTCATTATTATTCCAAGTCTTCAAGTGTATACAATATGAACTCTTATACCTCTATTTATAGTGTAACATAGAGGCATACAAAAGGTTAGTCATAAACATGACATTAACATGAATATAATGGAGGAGGTTATGGAAGTGGAAGGTTACAAGAATAATAGTTATAAAGTTGGAGGTTATAGAGGTTATGGTTATCTTCATAATGGAGGAAAGTAATGGAGATAATGGGTGAGAGTAACTTCTTGGTGTAATGGACATCCACACTATAATATTTTATAACAATATATTCATACTTATTATTAATTATTAGTTCTCGACACGTTCGTCCCATATTAACTAATATAAATCATAATTAAATTGAAGGTTAATGAACAACAAATAATATAAACACAAAATTACAATCAAGATTGAGAAGAAGACTAAAGTCCAAGTCTAAGCATCTCTTAATAGTTAGATAGTTTATCGATGCATAGTTATTGCTAATTTGAAAGACTTTTGATATTCTAGAAGCCCATCAACAAATATAATAAGCTAACAGATGATAAATGTAATTTTTAGTTGAATAAAATTGACAGAATTTTCATTTGTCGAAAAATGATTACCAAATATGTCACTATAGGTATAAGCTTCTTGTAGTTTTGTTTTCTTCTGAAGCACGGGAATTCAAGTTTGTCCATATTATATTCTCCCCTTTCCTCCATAGGTAGTTGTTGAGGTGTAGAGAACCATTTTATGCATGTACATTCCACTCCATATGTTGAATGGTAGTACCTTCAAAATTTTGTATCACCCTCTTAATGTGTTGGATATCATCCCAAAATGAAATGATCCAACCTGATCACGAAAACAATCAAAATAACAAACAGAAAAACCCATTCATCTGATCTATTGATGAACACAAAATTAGAATGTAAACAAGACACAAATGAAAGTTGTGAACAAAATATATCCAAAAGTATATATACCTCTGTGGAACACATAAATGATAAATAGGATAATGGACAAAGACTCCTAACTATGAGGACTAAAATGTAGAGATCATCTTATTTAAATGTCCTCAAGTCTCATATGTGTCTTAAAAATGGTGAAGGAATAACCTTATTTATAGATTGAGCAGTCACTCCAAAAGTCACCATATTTAGTGTCATAATAAATAGATATTCCCTCCGCTCATTTTTATATGTCATCCCTTTCTGTAATTAGTTGGTCCATAATACTTTTAATTTCATAAAATCAATGCATAAATTACAATATTGTTCATTTTT